ATTTCTTACGTAGTTTGCCTTACAACTGGCTAATGTTTGTTTATGAGCTCTGTATATATATATATATATATATATATATATATATATATATATATATATATATATATATATATATATATATATATATATATATATATAAAGTCTCACGATTTCATCAGTTGAGATGGCTGGGACACGTGTAACGTATGCCCAACCACCGACTGCCTCGACGTAGGTTGGAAGAAAGCTAGAGGCGGCCAGACCAAAACATGGCACAAGTCCATGAAGTCACTGACAAGTGGACTGAGCCATGTTGTTAGGTGTAGACTACCTTGTTGGGGACCGCGAGATGATAGCAACCGATGGTTAGAGATCCTGAATGAAATGGCTCAAAATCGTTTGCAATGGCGCAGGTGCATCCACTCTTTGTGTTCTCCCAAGTTCTAATCTTCTGAATTCTTCATGTCCCTTTCTTTTTTCTCTTTCCAAATTTATTTCACTGGATTGTACTCATTGAATAACTGCTTATACTCTTACCATCTCTACCATTACGGGATTTGAATCGACAACTGCATCTATGTGCTAATGTGGTGTGGCAACTCGAAGTGATGCACTTACTCACGAAGTTCTACGTTGTTACTGACTGACTGAGCTTCAATTGACTAATGATCTCAACTATTAAAATTACTATAATATCCACAAAAACCCCTTCTGATATTAAATAATTATTAATTATTGAATGTAAAGATAATTTTCGTAAACCATTTTCAAAACAATTTCGATTATGTACATGAAAGTAATTAAACCTAGTGCATAGTTTTTTGTTTTCTGACCCATAAAACGTAATCAAATCAACGACCAGCAATTATTTGTACCTTACGACACAATATTGTATATAACGTTTTGAACATCTTAAGTGTGAATTATTTCAGATAACTGATTTGTGTCTATCATACAAATGAATTTTCACTGTTGATAATGGTTACTTACGAGTAGTATGCAGACTAAAGTTGATCTTAAAGTTAAGGGATATTCTAGTGAGATTTATAATGAGGTCCTAAATGTAATGATGTCAGGTTGGCAAAATCAAGTGAAATATATATGGTAAAGGGATTTGTAAATTTAATAATTAATAATAGATAAACAAAGTCTACTTTATAAAGTAAATAAAACTTAAGTTTCATTCACAATTCAAAACAAAATATTCGCTTCATCCACTTTGTTCGATATGATCATGGACATATTGCTAGAGGTAACTTTTTCTTCTCCTAACTTCTCCACACATAACTGTTTGTTCAGAGATATCTTTATTAATCATGGAAACAATATGTGCTATAATAATAGCGTAAATAATGGCAAGAAACTAAATATTACGAGTCAAATTTAATGTTAGCTTAGAGTCATAAATTTGAACTCAGGTGATATTTTGATGACATTTATGAGACAGTAGAAAAGAATCTCATGAAATATGATTTGAGTCCAATAAGATGTAACAATACTTAAATATTCAGGAGCACTTTAAGAATACATGTTAAATTGAAATGTCGAAGTAATAAACGTAAACCACTAATTTTTTAATAACAAAGATGGTCACATTAGAAGTATCTCTCCAACGTAGCCTCACGAACCGTTGCGATTTTTTGTCTTTTGATTCTTACTTACTTACTTACGCCTGTTACCCTTCTTAGAAGACCACAGGCCGTTCACCAGCATTCTCCATCCAGCTCTGTCCTGGGCAACCCTTTCCAGTCCTTTCCAGTTGATAATCATCCTTTTCAATGTCTGCTTCCGATTCCCGACTTAGTGTGTTCTTTGGTCTTCTTTTTTTCCCTTTCCTTTCAGAATTCCACCTCCACCGACTTTCATTAATTTCCTCTTCGGATGGAAACTGGTTTGTTCTCTCCCAGAGTAGTCTGTTGCTGATGGTATTCGACCAGCGGACATTGAGTATCTTGTGTAGACAATTGTTTATTAATACTTGTACTCTCTTGATGACGGTTGTGATAGTTCTCGAAGTTTCAGCCCTGTACAGTAGAACTGTTTGGCGTCCGTATTGAAGATTGTGACTTTGATATTGTTAAACAGTTGTTTTGAGTTCCATATGTACTTCAGCTGTAGGAATGCTGTTGTTGCTTTGCCAATCCTTGCCTTTACGTCTGCATCACATCCTCTTTGTTCATCAATTATACTTCTCTGGTACGAGAAAGATACCACATCTTCCAGAGTTTCTCCATCAAGTGTGATTTGGTTGGTATTCTCCGTGTTGTATTTGGGGATTTCGCCTTTTCCTTTGTGTATGTTGAGGCCTACTGATGTAGAGTCTGCTGCCACACTAGTTGTCTTGACCTGCACTTACCGGTGTACTTTCGAAGAATCTCTCCTTTCATCATGAGGCGTCATAATTCTCCCTTCTACTTGGAGGACAGATTTTAAACGGTTTAATATGTTTGCTCTGATTAGCGTTTTTTAGAAAGATTGTTTTGTATGGGATGGGACTGTTGACTCCATACTCAACCCTCCTCCGTTGTGTGGGCTCGGGACCGAGAGTAGCCCTAGAAGAGCTACGGGAAGAGTTGCTTTCTGATTCAGATGTCTGAAAAATTGCAAGTACTAGAATGTGTTTATTTTAAATTCTATGCTGATTATAACATTGAAACCACGCACCTGAATTTTAGTTGTAACGACGAATTTTGTATCTGTACAGAGCAAACTTCATGCGTTTCATTCTTCTTGAAGAGGTTTTGTAAAAATTATTATAATTTTGTGAAAAAACTCCGGTTTTTTCAACCTTGAAACTTTGAATGGATGCAAACCAGCTACAGGACCATTCATTGATGAAATCAAGTGGAGAAACGGTTGAGTATCAGTATCAGACAACAGCAAACACTTAAAAATTCTAGTGAACAGCAACAGTGGTAAACAATGTCTTACTTAGGCAACAGTTTCAAAAGTTCAACTGAAGTTAAAATACACGACATAGAGAGAAGTTCGTTTTTAAATCTGTGGGTTTTGAAACGCCTATGGAATCACTTGTTATGGATCTACAGTACCTCACCTTTAATATGCCCCTAATTACAAGATCGAGATTACGTGTAATTTTGTGTTATCTCTGCATGGCCGAGAAATTCCGGGAAAAAATCTATTTACGAATTTAGATTTTCCTACACTTAGCCTATGAGTGTACTGACTTGTACTGACTTTTATGTAATTCATTTGCTTTCTGTAACTATTTACTGTTCTCCTAATCTATCTTTATTATTGACTTTATGGAAGGATCGCCTTGTGAATTTTTTAAGGCTATGAAAACAAACAGTTTCTTTAAAATTTAGCGGATGAGTGAAAACCTCGGTTTCCTTTTATTTCCATGGGTTTTAAATTTATGGTTGGCACAGCATTTATTGTGACCTACGGTATTAAACTCTGCTATCTAGGTTGTCTTGCTAATTTGCTGCTGAGAGACAAAATAACAACAGCTAGCCGTGTTGAAAGATCCGATACGGTTAATCTAAAAAATATAAGGCGTATTATGACCCTACACTTATAACTGTTGAGACCAATACGGTACTATTTTGTAAACAATGTAAACAAATCAAAACCTTTACTTAAATATAAGCTATTAGGTATAAAATTTATGAGTAAAGAAGATCGGATCTATTCGGATGGAAAATGTGCATATGATAAATTAACAAAAAAGAGATCCAGTCAAGAAACTGTCGGAGACGTAGATTTAGAGAAGTCGAACTTAACTATAAGAAATCGATGAAACTCATATGAAACTACGCAGCCGTTCTTGCTTGTAGATTTGAATACAACGTGGAAGCACAAGTACAGTTAAGGTTTACGGGAAAAATTTTGTATTCGTCATTTTTCATGTTACGACTCATACATGTCTAAAAACAACAAGTTTGCATAGTGGAGTAAGCTTTTTTAAGGATAACTTATAGCTTTTTACTAGGGTTTTTAGTTCAGGTTTGTAAAAATAATCAAACGTGTTAATAAAATGAAGTATATTTTTAGTTTCTAAGTAAATCTTTACCTTAAGTCTCTTGTCTTTTGTAATTTTGTGACCTTGAAGACAACAAAAGGAGGGTTGTTATACGATTTTAACAATTCCATTATCATTCGCGTATCTTGAAACACTTTCAGGATTCTGTTAAAAAGAACGTCATTGTGTTCCTTGATGTAACGGGTCAGATTTATATGCAGGCTACTTGAAGAAAATAATTTGACTAGCATAGTAAAAATCAAATCACTTATGTAAACCAATGTAAATGTAGTAAAGTTTGCATATGATTTATAAAAGTGAAAGTGGTAGGAGGAATGCAAGTGAATCCGAATGATTAACAGTCATCTGTGAATGTACTATTCACTCACTGTTCGGAATGGGAGATGAGTGAAGTTGAAAATGAGGGTCGTTTACCTTTTGTTACCGGGTAAATTCTAGTTCAAAAACGGCAGCAACATCCAAATAAAAAAGTTAAAAATAAGTTTTGTTACAGTACTTTGGGTTTGAGCCTCAAGAAAATTTGTCAGTCTTATTTTTAGCTCTTGTTTATCTTTTAACTGTGAACGATTTCAAGACTAGGAGGAGCACACTAAGTTAACTATACTAAAGACTATCAAAGAGAAACGGACTTATAAGTTATGTGATTTAGCCATAAGCAACTCCAAAAGATGCAGTAAAATACACAATATTATGTACCAGTTTTCAAAAACATATTTTTTGTCGGTATTATAAGTTAGTTTGACATGGTTTATTAAACATGTGCATGTCACCAATAGTAATAAGTCATTTTTGAGCAGTATTCATAACGGATAACTGTTAGAACAATTGAATCACTGGAATTATCTAACGGAACACGTAATATCAGCACATTCTGTTAATATATTCAAAACGAGATTGGACCTCCACAGTATTACAAACTGCAAGGAATAATATAGGTTGATAGACCTCCTATCCTTATTACTGAAGACCAACTGTGACGAAAAAGAAAACTGAATACCAATTTAAAAATATTTACCAATCCCTTAGAAGTTCGATATCACCGCACGTTAGTAAAAAATGAAATCAGTTGTTTATGAACATTTAATAACCCTCTGCATAACGTTGCTAAGACTTAGTCAACAAATGATGATATTTTGAGCGAACAAACAAATATTTTGTGTCACAATTAGATTACGTGATTGTAATAAAAAGTTGAAAATAACTTATATTGGTATCATAATGTTAAGAAACTAAATAAGAATTTTCTGACTCACTTTTAACATTTGGAGTACGGTACTTTTTCAAAGTGTTCGGTGTGTTTTTGGTTTACGCGTTTGTTCTTACTCTTTTTGGTGTTTGAAAACACATTTGTGCTCGCACGCTTTGGATAAAAACTAAAGCCGCATGTTCCTGGTGCATGCGTGTTTATATCTGTTTGGCCGGGATTACTGTTAATTCCTCGGAATTTCTGCATTTCCACTTTGTGGTTACTTCAGATCGCATCGTATCGGTAGCAATTTCGTCACTAACTTCCAACGACAGATTCGGTGATTCTTCTTTCTTTATTGCCACACTCAGATAAATCTGTCGAACTGACCTTAGTTACACGTGAGCTTTTTGATGACATATTGTTAATTTTTTTTGATGTCAAAGCTCTCACCACTTTCAAGGAAACTTTTAAAAAACTCGGGGGGGGGGGGCATCACTAAAGTGTTGTAATTGGAACTAGTCTAGTTGATATCCCGGCGAAGAATTCGCAGAGCAGTCTAGTCTAAAGCAAATAATAATACCGCACTCATTTCAAAAAAGGGCAGTGATTTTTGTACTTGTCGTGATTATCCTTGTTTTTATACTTGTTGCATCAAAAATCATTCTTGGTCTACTTTAACTAAAAGTACTTTGGTTAAGGTTTGAAATTTTTGCTAAACTTTGTCCTGTGGTACCTTATTTTTACTCATTGACTGACACTCATGTTCACATTGTGATCATATTATGTTTCAAACCTTTTTGATCAAATTATAATGGTCAGTGAGACTTATAAATGTGGACAACCAAACTGCTTGTTCCCCGTTGAGAAATGAATGCAGTGCGATGATTGTAAAAAGTGGTACCATAAGATGTGTACACGTCTAAGTCGTACAGCATACAAAAGATGCTCGAAACCTAACTCACATTGGCTTTGTATGCTTTGCTGTAAAAATAAGAAGTTACTAATTCAGGAGGCTATGAGCCTATTGGCTTTGGGCCTGTAAGAAATACGATGGCGGTTGCGTTAATAACACGAGCACTGACCGTGAAGAATGTCTCAGTGTAGTACGTGCTGCTACCTGACCCGATAAACACTCGACTGTGATTGACGCGAAAGTGAAATCTCTGCTAACATTAAAGAGGAGTGAAGTGCCGCTTGATATTGATATCGGTAATCATACACCTTTAGTGGAAATTGAAGACCCGGATAAAACTGTCACCGTGCCAAATAGTCCCGGTGTGGCTGTCCTGAGTGATGGTAAATGGACTTCAGTACGGAGAAAAAGAAACGAGAAGAAAAAAGTTGTAGGTGAAACACAGCTGGTTAGCAAGTTGTTGGAAGAGACGGTATCAGAAACAAAAACTCCATTGCGTGTCAAGACAAATCTCTCTGAGAAGTCAGTCATTTTTCATAAGTTAAGAGAAGTTTGGAAAAAAACGATCCCCAAACCACTCTGTGTAGTAAGGGAAAGTTCTCCACAGACTTAAAGGTATGCTACACAAATGCTCGTAGCCTACTAAATAAAATGGCGGAGCTCAAGTCAGTGGTGGATAAAGAAAAACCGGATGTTATTGCTGTCTCGGAAACTTGGTTAACGTCAGAAGTATTAGATAGTGAAATCCAGTTGACTGGTTTTTTATCCAATAGGGCTGATAGATTAAACCGTAGGGGGGCGGGATTATCCTGTACCTGAAAAGTGCCATAACCATAAGAGTAGCTGAGACAGTGGCACATGTTTCAGGGACATGTGAACTGGTGCAATGTAAGCTGAAATGTAGACGGCAAGATTTCGAATTAGTTGTAGTATATCGCAGTCCAGAATGTGAAGCAGATGATTGGGGCAGATTTCACTCAGGAACCTCCTCTAGACAAAGAACTAGACCAAAATAAAGAGTCAACAGACCACTTTCTAACCGTAGACTTCGAACACGCCGATGTGCTTAAGGCTTTAAGCATCTTAAACACGAAAAAGTCAACAGGACCAGATGAACTACCCCCCATAATCTTGAGACATATTGCACAATGTATCGCAGCCCCATTGACTGTGATATTCAATATGTCACTTGACCAAGGTGTGTTACCTATGGACTGGAAGGACGCAATCGTCACCCCCATACATAAAACAGGACCAAGACAAGTTCCATCGAACTACAGACCTGTGAGCTTCATTAGTGTTGTAGTTAAAATATTGGAAAGAATAGTCAAGCGGACCATAATAGCATTTATGGAAACCAATAACTTGCTGAACATGGCACAACATGGTTTTAGAAAGGGTCTATCCTGTACAACGAACCTCCTTATAGCTAGGGAGCTCTGGATTAATGCGCTAGACAACGGAAACTCAGTGGATGTTGTCTACATAGACTTCAGTAAGGCTTTTGACAAGGTGCCAACTAATAGACTGCTATTAAAGTTGGCAAACCTTGGTATTGCCGGATCTCTTCTAAAATGGACTAGGGATTTTCTAGTAGGTCGCAGACGGAAAGTAAGAATAAATTCCATTTGCTCCATCTGGAGCCAAGTACTTAGCGGGGTAACTCTTCCACTTTACTGTCAATGACGTTCTGGAGACAGCTCTGATGGGAGTGATGGTGTGTATCTGTTACTTGGAGGAGGAAACTTCGACGTTGAGTATGAGGATGATATTGTCCAACTGTTCGATGTGACTGAAGCCATGCAATCCTCACTTAATCAGTTGGCAATGAGTGTCCGTAGGTATGGCATGTGTTTAGCAGCTTCTCAGTACAAAGCACCTCTACAAGACTGACAGGAGTATGTGTCTGTACTCACTGTTGGTAGTGAGCCGTTAGAGGTAGTAGATAAGTTCACGTGTCTGGGTAGTTTTGTAAGTGTTGGTGGTAGAGTGAGTGATGAGATCAATTTATATATGGTGAAAGCCAGAAGGGTCATATTAATCTGAGTAATCTTTTGTCCTTCATGATGTTGGTCTAACTATTAACGTCAGGTTTGCGATGCGTCAGTGAGAGCTGTTGTATCCTGTGCTTGTCAAGTTTCAAACATCATTAGATGGTCCAAGACTCAAATGTGCTACCTAGTGATTGAAAATCGATCTCGTTAATCATTTTCATGATAAATAATGTACACACTGTGCTAACCCGGGATTTTTTTTTGAAAATTATTTATATAAACTGTGATATTGTTCACTCATAAATAAACTGTTGACTACCCTTAGTAACAAGGTTGGAAACAAACTTATCTGTAAAGTAATACTGCTGTCTAATCGCTAGAGGTATGAAATAATTGGACCAAATAATGAAAAACAACGTCGTGTTCACGAGTTGATTTGGATTCTGTTTAACTGGTATTCCGATTCTTTTCATTAAACGTCCCAGTCGTGGTTCCATAAATGTAATTTTTAGAATTATTTGCCTAACTATTTCAATACAACTATGGTAATAAAATTATTTGGAAGGTAATACCTATTTTACACTTATCATTTGATCAGCAAATTGACCCGAGGTTATACCTTATAGTGATTCTCCCTTTCTACTTGGTGATTACTTTTTAATCTACTGTTTTATATTTTTCCTCATTATTCTCATGTAGTACCAAAATTTTCCTTGTTTCATTTATTCCGTTTGTTATAATCCCATTTTTCCGAGAATGTTCATGATTTCATCTGCATAAAATCTACAGTTCACTTGTTCTGACCGATATTTTGTTTAATGTTTGGTGTTAGGTGTCTAAGAGATTTACGAATCTACATTTTTACATAGTTTAACTATTGGGTTGTACACATCAGTTATATATATTTAATTACCTTTTATATATAGGCAATTTCGCTTTCGATCTCAGCCGTTATATGAAATTTATATATAATTGTTTAGTATTCATTTATCGTAGTTATTTGCTTATTTAGATAGTGTCATTAGCAATAATACTTTCACAACATCTTCCTTTAGATGCCTGTACTGAATGGACAATTTTTCATTCATATCAACTTATAAATTTACTGAATGACCTCATCTTTTTCAGTTAAATGATCATTATTCACTGTAGTGAAAAAACTCAACTATTTTAAATTACAATCCCATTAAAATATTGATCAAAATCTGAAGTATGCGGAGAATATTGTTTATCGTACACCTTCCATTTACAAGATAATTACTAATGTCATTGTTTAAAACTTGTGAAATTTGGTCATCACAGCTGCACACAACAAATTTTGAGGACGGATTTTGCTTGAAGTTAAGTCCTCTTCACAATTTGTATAAATCTCAATATTTCATCTTATTTGGAACTTCCTCTGGTATTTTATCCATTTTTCTACCTCGAGCTGCTGAAAATTCAGTTAATGAAAAATCAGACAATCAACTACATACTTATAATGATTTGTGCATTGAATACAATACCGAGCATCCTATTTTATGTATAGATTGTGGTAATCTTGTCACGGAAATGTGTCAGTATCAACAGATAGCAGTTTTGCATTCACGAATGATAGCTGTTTATGATTTTGCGAAGTCTGATGATTCGTTTCAAGGCTGTAGTGATACTTTTTCACTAGAATCTTGGACGTTAACACTTTCATTCAAACTTAACGTTCAAAAGGACTCATACACATTACTTCTTGGCAAATTCTTTGAACAAATTCAAACAGACGTCATTTGTGTTCAAACGCTTGACGCATCTCTTTACTTTTTCAATGCGAATGGAGAATTACTTCAAATAACCTTACCAAATATTCTAATACCTGGTCCTATAATATTTGTAAAATCCATCCATTCATTAATAACAGCCGCTTCAATAAAATTACATTGTTTTAGTTTTCTGTCTTCGAATATTAAACACTCGCAAACATTATATACTGATCATAAAAATATTTCATTAGACTGGTCGAT